TACAGTTTTCTAGGGTTTGCATTTGTACCCAACTTTCCCTTAGTCAATCCATTTCTCATTTCTTAACAAGCCAGGTCGATGAGGCGCTGTACTTCAAGGTCGCCGACGACGGAGTGGCGTGCTGGGTGCTCATCTACGTCGACGATCTGCTCGCTGCAAGCAGCAGCACTGCGATGCTGAAGGAGTTGAAGGAGCTGCTGGAGGCCGCCTTCAAGCTGCGTCGGCGTTTCATCGACGAGGAGCAGACCGGGCGAGTGCCGAAGTCGCCGGTCTCCGTCGACGCCTACGCAGAGCTGGTGTTCGACGACGAGGAGTTTCAGTCGCGCAAGGAAGCAGAGTACCGGCAGAAGGTCGGCTCGCTGCAGTTCGCGGCCACCACGACGACGGGAAGAAGAAGTTGGATTCTGCCTGCTCGACCGAATCTGGTCGAAGAGCTCTGCGCGACGCTTCTGGTCGAAGAGCTGTGCGCGACGATCCTGGTCGAGGAACTCTGGTCGAAGATTTCGGGTCGAGGAACTCTGGTCGAAGAGTTCGGGTCGAGGAGCTTTGCTCGGCGAACGCTGTTCGACCGAGCGATGTTGAGCTGATCAACCGAAGTTACAGAGTTGTGCGAAACTCTGCGGAGGCGTGCGAACTTTCGCCCAAGAGGTTTTGGCGAAGTTCTACCTGCGGAACGGCATCACGTGGTCGACGGAACGCACCTGACGAAACCGACGACACGTTATCTACCTGGCACCTGCGCAATGTGCCTGACGGTGAAACCGCCAACCTGCACCTACTTGGTAGGTGCGCACATCTGCGCAGATAGACAACCTGCGACTGCAGATAGTCACCTGCGACTGCAGTGCCTGCAGACCGCGTGCAGTGCAACGTTGGCAGATCACTCTACTGCAACGTTGGCAAGCCGCTCTTCTGCTGCGCTGGCATATTTCGCCCTTGTACTATCATGCCATTCTAGTATTTTCATTCTGCATGCCTCAATTGTACTATCAACTATTAATTGCAAGTTGTTCTTTCAATTCCTTAGTGGAAACTCTTGCCAAACTTCTCTGTGAACACAGCAAGCAGTAAGAACATTTGAAGAACGCTACGATCACTCGCACAACTCCGTGCCCTCTACCGTAGTCCACTCCCGTTGTGTAGTGACTCTCCGCACCCTCGTAGGTGACCATGGGGAGAGAGCTGTCGCACCAGATTAGGCGGTTTGTAGTCAGATCAATGTGTATCAGGCGTAACAAATATAAGCAGAGAAAGCACGGATGATATTAAGGGCAAGGATGTAGCAAGGAAGGAGAGTCTAAGCTAGTCATGTATTTTAGGGCTAACGCAAAGAACCAACACGTGCCGTCAACGCCTACCGTTGGAAACTGTATGATTCTTGGCCACAAATCAAACGACTGAATGATTTAATCAGCTTTTTTTAGAGAATATATGTATAAGAATCATAAACTTATCCAATATATTGGTAGTTACTATGTAGTTTATACACATATTAACACATTGAGGTATACCAATTAATCAGATGCCTTCGGAAAAAAGATTCGTTTGATTTATGTTGTCGGATCTTTGCACGTCCAAAGTCTATATATACAGTTTGTTTTTATTTCATTAACATTTTTTATATAGATTTTGTTGCTGATTTATCTGGAATGATAAAAATGAACATTGCTCACAGCCAACCAAAGCGAAATCCATCCATGTTGGCCGCATGTTGTTGGTGAATTTTGGTTGAAGAGTATGAAATCGCACCTATTTGTAACCATTCTTGATACTTGTTAGCGCTAGAATTTGGAGTTTAGATAAAAGAGGTCAGTAGCAGGGATGTTACACTGTTCCGAGTGCGCTGTACATTCTTCATTCCAGCACATCGCTGCTGCGCGTCGTTTCACTTTTCTGTTTGGAATTTTATAAGAGCACGTCATCGTGCGTGTGTTATGTAATTGGTGTATATTCATTTTCACGGAACTTGTTGGCGATAAGGTCTGTTGTGATTGGTCCTTTATCGCCAACACGCTGGGTTCAACGATAGCTGGTTCGCTGCTTTACGCCTTGCGCAGTTGTGCTTGACATTTCAACACCAGCGCAGCTGCTCAATTGGTGGTTGATGCAGCGATTGCGCATTGCGCAGTTGCGCTGGGTTTGGCAACTCAGCTCAACTGCTCATAGCTGGCTGACGCAGCAATTGCACATGGCGCAGTTGCGCTCAATTTGGCAAAGCGCAACTGCGCAATTACAAGTCGAGCTGCCAACTGCGCACTCCCTGCTGCGCAATTGGTTGAACTGCCATCTGCGCACTGCGCACATGCGCACCTGCGCAGCAGCTTCCCCTCCCCACCCACCCCAACAATCGAAGTGTGCGACCTCCCGCAGCAGCACAATGCACCCCACCCCATCTGTTCCTCGCTTCTCTCTTTCTGAAACGCTAGTAGCGTTTCGATTATTCTTCCTCCTCGTTCTTTGTTTCTCGTCTCTTGCCTCTGCAGTTCACCGTGCTTACCTTTCTTCTCACGCGCTTTGCCTCCCTGTCCGGTAGCGACGAGGAAGCTGTAGTATCCTAGAGTTACATTTATGTGTAGTTTTTTTTCCTTCCCTTTGTTACTGTTGCTTCCGTTTGTTACTGCTGTTTTTTTCCCTTGGCGCTAACACTTCTAACCAGATCTTGTTCTTTCTCGTCGTTTTATTGTGCGAACATTGCTTGCTTCCCTGGTTATGTTTTTCAGTTTTTTGTGTCACTCGCTGGGCGTCCCTTTTCTGTTGTCCTAGCATAGGCATTCATGATAACATAGATGTTCTGTATGGTAAGTCTGTTCGTTGCTTTCCCTTTTCGCTCCCTTTTTTTTGTAATGTCTAACAACTCTAGATTTCCGTGTGTTACCCGTTGCCATTGCAGAGAATGGTGGCTGGAATAGCAATAGCTATGTTGTGCAGCCGGCGTAATGCTTTAATGAAGCAACTGCAACTGTTATACAGCCATATTAATGCTACGCAATACCACCAGCAGCGGATGGGCGCAGCAATGAGTGTAGCTGGAGGTATGGGTAGGCGGCAGCAATGGGCGCAGCGGAGAGTGTGAGCAGGCGGCAGTAATGGGCGCAGCGGGGATGATGAGTAGGCGGCAGTGGGGGACGCAGTGGTAGGATGATGAGAAGCAGCTGCTTAGGGTGTTCGGAGTCTGCAGCAGTAAGGAATAATGATGCTCGCTAAGCAGTTGTTTTGTTAGCCGTGATGTAGGTTTGTCAAATGTGTCCTATCTGGAGGGAGGCTTGTTGTGGCCTTTTGTGTAGTTGAATGTGATGCTGAATGTTTTGTATTCAGGTTTTATTAATATAAACCATTTTTTTATTGCTTACTGACCTGAAAGTATGTGCATGAACCTAGCTTTGGTAGCTGACTATTGTAACCCCTGAACTAGTACTGAAATGCTGCAATATTGGTCCAAATTTATGCTAATATAGGTCTAGTGGATTCAGACCTATTTTGGTGCTGATTTTAGACAAATTCTGTGTGTCCAAGTACACCAAAATTGGTCCTAGTTATGTGGTCCAAAAAAGGACCAATTTTGGTCATATTTTGGTTGAAAAGACCAATCTTGGACCAAATTTAGACCAAACCTAGGGCCACTACTTTGTGATGTAGGTTCGTCAACGAAAAAAGGGTCCTACTGGAGGTTGATTGGTTGACTGGTGAAAGTAGACGGAATTGGCTTCGTAAGATCAGCTCGAGGCGGCTCGAGAATGTCGCCGTTCCCTCACTGTGGTTCGTGAACACTGGAACCGCCACCTCACAGCTTCGGCGAGCGCGATAGAGACAGACCCCATGCTGCGTCCTAAATTGGAGATTTCTGCTCAATCCCGCGGAATCGCGGTTCATTTTATTATCGCCACGTGGCATGCCTTCGATCGCGGGAACCGCGATCTGTTTTATTGTTCCCACAAATTTCAAGAGAAATTTAGTTAAAACCAGGGTGCACATTCAACGCGGTTCGGCTTGAGATGTTGGGAAGGGGGTTTGGAGAAAAACAGTGATTGGCTCACGAGGGGCGACAAAAAAATGATTCCGCTAGAGCTTCGGGCATTTCGTAGGTGGCGGGAGGGGGTGAAATGGCGGGAGTGGGTGAAACCGAATGGCGGGAGGGATGAAACAGATTGGCGGGAGGGGGGGGAAACGAAATTGCGGGGGAGGGGGGAAACAAAATTGCGGGGGAGGGGGGAAACGAATTTCGACGGGGAGGGGGAAATGAAATTGCGGGGGCGTGGGGAAACGAAATTGCGGGGGAGGGGGGAAACGAATTTCGACTTGAAGGGGTTGAAAGCACACCTCGTAACCCACTCAGTCAAGGGATAACCTTTGATGCACATTCAGCTGAATGTGCACCCCGGTTTTAAGCTTAGTGGGTCACATGTACTGTCCTGCCCGCGGGCAAAAATAAAACCCCTATAGGAAAATCATGTGTTAGGGATGCATCAACACTAAACTCCTAGAGTGAGCAAAACTCTCCCTAAATTGACTTGGGTTGGGCCATAGCCGCTCCCGCCACAAGACCAGTCGCGGAATCATGGCTCTTGGGATGGGAATTGATCCCGTTCAGTCCCCGACAATTTGGCGAGCACTGATAAAAGCAGGGATGCGATAAAAGCAGGGATTCGTAAAACGTAAATGGATCTCTACTTCAGATCTTGATCTTGGACACTAGATAGTAGAGTGATGTCTCTCTATCCCCAAGTCCGTAGTGTTTTGGTTAATTTATTTTTACAGTAAATTATTTTCTAGCTCATTGCCATGTTTCTTCACTCATGCCAAGTTCCTGTAGATTACTCAATCCAAGCTCGGGTACAAACAAGGTTGATTAGATCAGTTGTACATGAAAATTAACAGGAAAACAAAATTGGCCTCCATCCAAAATCTATGGCTGGTAGGTATGAAGCACAACTGCAGGTTGAAAAACAAGCATGTACACAAAGGAAGCCAGTCGGCAACTTAAGAATCTATAAGCTTAGCACTCAATACACCTCCCCCTCCTCCCTCTCCTGAAGGCGCATGCAGAGGGACAGACAGCCCTCCCTGCAAGCAGGCCGACGCTTGGCAGCGACTGCGGGAGGCTTCCAGTCATCAACAGCAAACCCTACCACACCAGCAGCACCAACGGCGCCAACAGCAGCTGAAGAGACATTGGTATTCTTCTGGTGTGCCAGATTGTGGTTATGGCAGCACTTGAGTACCTCCTTGCTTGCCAGCAGCTGCAGCTGAGACATCTCTGCCAGACTGTCAGTCACTACCCGAGGAACCTTGGTGCTTCCAGCTTTGCCAAGCCCCTTCTCGCCGTTCTGGCATGTGTCGTTCACCACACCGGCAGCTACAGGCATTGCTACAAAGCCAGGTAAGGCGTCAGCAGCTTTCATGGTCGCAGCAGCAACCAATTCAGCGGTTGTTGCGACTGGCAGGTTCGTAGGCATGGCTGGCACAGGGGTAGGAAGGTCTCCCGCCGCCATCTCTGGTAGGATCTGGGTGCGAGCCTCAGGGATAGCAGTTCCAGCATCCGTTGTGGGGAACCACTTGCTTAGAAGGTACTTAGATCGGCGCCAGGGAGCAATAGCGATTCCACTGCTTTGAAGTGACAGGTTCATGGCAGTAGCCAGAGCAGTGACAAGGGGTTTGAGTCGCTGACGTCCGCCGACGAACACGGACGGAAGCTGCGAGAGAAGCTCGGCATAGCGAGGGGTCGGGCGAGCCACTTCAAACTGCTGCCTGAAGGACACATCCACAACCACACGCTGAGATGGCAACAGCAAGCACCGCTGCGCGGGAAGCTGCGCGGAAAGCGCGGTCCACTGAGCAGTCGAGTGCTGCTGGTTCTGCTGCTTCTGCTCATGCTGACGTTGCTCGTTATTGAGAGAATGATGTGATCCTTCCGGTTTCCTGCTGTGCCAGTTGGAGGGCTTGAATGGGGAACCATCCAGAACAGACGTAGGAGACCAACCTCCAGAACCTGATCCCTTAGCGCTCGATGCCATGGAGATTTCCAGGAAGTCGTATTCTCCTGAAGGAGCCTCATGGGTGGTTGGCCACGCAGCATGACACAGCATGACGTCATGACGGCGAGAGGCTGCCAGGCTAGCAGCGACCTTCATGCGATCAACAGCAGTCGCGTCACGCGGAGGCGAAGACGACGGAGAATGATAAGCAGTAGGCGATTCAGTTGAAGAGACTCCCATGGGAGCTTCCGAGAGAAAACCTTTGGTAATCGTAGAGGTGGCAGGCTGGATTCCGTATTTCGGGGATTCCATTACCAGCTTCACGTGCTCTTCCAATAGTTTCTCCGAGGGAGCAGCTGTAGCAAGGCACTGCATAGACGAAAGATAATGATTAGACTCTGGAAGCCAACCAATGAATATTAATTATATCCGTGGCAGACAAACCAGTTCATTGCAAGCTTACCAGCTTGACGGTCATGGCTAGTTCAGCCCATTCGTCTTCCTCGTCGGAATCGCGAGACACGGATTGTACAGTCTTCGTCTGATTAGCTGATTCTTGTGTGGACACCTGAGTTGAATCCTCATGATAATCAAGGTCCAGCTCTTGATCCTTGGCAGCAGCCACAGAGGGACCTCTGGCATCTGCACCAGGGTGCGTCAGACCAGCAACCACAGGAAGCACAACGTTAGGTTTACTGACACGCCGACGCTGCTGAGCAGCAGCGGGTGGGGTCTTGCCTGATGCTTCCTGAGCCATTGTTGGCTTGACGACGGCCTTGTGCGTGAAGAAGCGTTCAACCACCGATGCTTCTACAGGATCGGAGATCCGCTTGCTCCGCCTTGCTGGATTCATCTCGCTCGTATGCCTCGATCAGAGAAGAACTGGTTGCAAACCACCGCTGCGCGTTAATGAAACCACTCCTGCGATTCAGATTTCACCATCCAGAACGGACTGCCAGAATGGACCGAAGATAACGCACGGTTCCCGGTGATCTCCATGCAGATCACCACACTCCTCGAGTAACCTCGACTTCCTGTCCCACAGATGCTTCAGGATTGGCCGTGATGCGTTAGATCACCATGGCCAACGGATACTGGTGTCAATGTATGGTATACGAGCTTCAGTAGCTCTAACCATGGGTTGCATTGACAGAAGGCAACTGCGAGGGTCTCAACCTCGGCAGAAAGTGGAAAGGGAACTAAGCCAGGAGTACAGCGCACTGGGAAACACGAGCTATTATCGACATGTTGCCCTCAAAGCATCACAGAACAGAACCCCAGGCAGGGACGCGAAGGGTGTCCGCCAGAGCCGCTGGAGGTACTGTAGAGTCAGCACCAACTGGGCCAGCTGATTGGGAGAGGAGTGGATTCAGCAGGTGGTTGGAGAAGGCGGTGGAGGGTGTGTGGTGGGGGGGGGGGGGAGTGGGGAGGAGTCACGTGGGTAGGGGGAGGGAATCTGGGTTCAGGCCAGGTTCTGTGCAAGCTTGACGGGGAAGTGAACCGTTTGACGGCACGTCAATTTCGAGAGGGGGGAAACCTGACGAAGACGTTTGTGCGAAGCTGACGGTTGACTACTGTCAGCAGCACCAAACAGCCTCCTCATGCGATGACGGGCGTGGATTGGCGGTGCACAGTGGTGAGGTGAGGAGAACTCGAGGGAAAGACAAAGACCGCCAATAACCATGGTTCGCGATGGTTACAACGACGAGAGTTCTTCGTCGTCAGCCGTGCCCCTGGTCAAGGCGAAAAAACATCGGTGATTGCGAAACGAATATTGCGACTCCAGAGTGACGATCACGATTCATATCGTGGCATTCCCCCGCCTCCCAGAATGGCGGGGACGAAGAGCTTCCCGCGTTCCCCAAGCAAGCAAGTGCGCATCCCCTTTCCAGCCAGACTTCAGGGCTTGGGGGGGCCAAGCTGTGCTGACGAAAGTTGGCATGGGATGGGATCGGGTCGGTCGGATGGGACCACTGGGACTTCATGCGTGGTCCAGAGATGCGTGAGTGACTCACGACGGTGCTGCTCTGTGGCTGGTCCGCTCCACCTGAGCCACTTTCGTGGCGCCACATCGTGCTTTGTATCGCCAACGGTGGAGACGGCCGGCTCTTGATTGGTGAGATTTTTAGCTTCACTTGCAGCCGTGGAAACCAGCGTGGGTGCCCTTGAGATCCAGCATCAGCGCATGCTGGGCTTGACCTGGTCCACGTGTGCGTCGAGTGCTGCAGGGATATTTGTCACAGAGCTGCTAAAAAAGCGGTAGGTGGGACCACTTGGAGCAGACCTGACGTGGCTGACATAAAAATATTCCCTTTTCTGGTCTGCTGGTGTCAGCTCTACGTTGCTGACTCTCGTCCTCGTCTAGAAAGGCTCCACAAATCAATCGTCGAATGTTATGTTACGTTACGACTGACGATGTATGCATGCAACATGTAATACGGTACATCAAAAACAATCCGTCAAATGTCAGGCATTGGAACTGTGGTTGATCAATAGTTGCACAATTACTACATGGAAATCATGCACCCTATTTGTTTGAGGAAAAATTTGATGGTTTGTTAATACAATTAGTGCACCAAACACGTTATATGGCAACAAAACCTATCTGATCACGATCCACGTCAAAACAATCAACACCACCAGAACCACTAGTATTTCCCAACCTTTCAAACCAGGTGCTGTTGCTGTTGCTGCTCTTGCTCTTGCTTCTGCTGCTGTTGTTGCTTCCACCGCAAATAACTCTCCATAAACTCATCCAGATCCCCATCCAGTACACCCCCGACATCGCTCGTCTCATACTCCGTCCTCAAATCCTTCACCAGCTTATACGGATGCAGCACGTAGTTCCTAATCTGCTGCCCCCACTCCGCCTTCACAACGTCTCCCCGGATTTCTCTGATCTCCGCTGCTCTCTGCTCCTCCAGGATAATGAGCAGCTTCGCCTTGAGCATTGCAAGCGCCTTTGCCTTGTTCTGCGCCTGCGACCGCTCCTCTGAACGAATCAAGAAAGGACACAGGAAAGAGGAAATAGAAACGTGAGGAATACGAGCAGAGAGACTCCGATGATTGGTAATGGGGCAAATGGGGCAGTGGGAGCACGTGCTGTTAATTGCTACCCCCGGATTTCTCTAATTTCCGCTGCTGATCTCTGCTCCTCCAGGATAATTAGCAGCTTCGCCTTGAGCATTGCAAGTGCCTTTGCCTTGTTCTGTGCATGCGACCGCTCCTCTGGGGGTTTTCAGGGGAGAGATTTGAAGGAGGAGAACGGTTGAAGAGTGAGGAGGAGCGAAGAGATGCCGCCGGGCAGCAATGCCCGTGGGCAAATGCACCATGTGCACGGCTGTCTCCACCTTGCCACCTTGCTACCATGTGCGCCAACACTTGAACCACCAAATCAGCCCCGATTCCCATCACCCACCTGAGCACTTGACTGCAATGCCCGTGGGCACATGCACCGTGCGCACGCCTGTCTCCACCTTGCCACCTCGCCACCGTGTGCCAGCACCTCAACCACTCGTCACCGCTCATCACCCACCTGAGCACTTGACGGCAATCCCCGTGGGTACGTGCACCATGCGCACTGCAGTCTCCACCTTGTTCACGTTCTGCCCGCCCTTGCCGCCCGCCCTCATAGTGGACACATCCAGGTCATCCTCGGGAATCTCCACCTTGATCGCCTCCTCTTCTAGTAAAGGCATCACCTCCACCCCCGCGAAACTCGTCTGCGGAGGAGGGCAGGGCAGGATGAAAAAAAAGGGGAAAAGGTTGTTGGAGTCACATCGTGCCCTCATTGTGGTCACATCCAGGTCATCCTCGGGAATCTCCACCTTGATTGCCTCTTCCTCCAGCAGCGGCATCACCTCCACCCCCTCGAAACTCGTCTGAAAGGTAGGGGGCGAGAAAGGGGAAACACAGAAGTTCGTTGTAACCACATCCCGCCCTCATTGTGGTCACATCCAGGTCATCCTCGGGGATCTCTACCTTGATTGCCTCTTCCTCCAGCAGCGGCATCACCTCCACCCCCTCGAAACTCGTCTGAAAGGTAGGGGGCGAGAAAGGGGAAACACAGAAGTTCGTTGTAACCACATCCCGCCCTCATTGTGGTCACATCCAGGTCATCCTCGGGGATCTCTACCTTGATTGCTTCCTCTTCTAATGAAGGCATCACCTCCACCCCTGCGAAACTCGTCTGCATGTATAAAGGGAAGAATGGAAAGGAAGCATATAAGCCCTCGTTGTAATCATATGCTGCCCTCTCACTGTAGTCACATCCAGGTCAACCTCGGGAATGTCCACCTGTCTCAGCCCCTTGGCGTTGAAGGGCGACTGTCTGACGAGCCTATGAGTGTCCTTCTCCCCGCTCAGGTACCCGAATGCATACCGCCCCTCCCCCTTGTGCATCCTGCCCCATTCCCTGTCAACCAACCCACCTGTCGGAGCCCCTTGGCGTTGAACGGAGATTGTCTGACGAGCCTATGAGTGCCCTTCTCCCCACTCAGGCACCCGTATGCATACCGCCCCTCCCCCTTGTGCATCCAGCCCTATTCCCCATCAACCAACCCACCTGTCTCAGCCCCTTGGCGTTGAACGGAGATTGTCTGACAACAAGTCAGCGAGTCCCCTTCTCCCCGCTCAGGTACCCATACGCATACCGCCCCTCCACTTCAAGTGTTGCATTCTTGATCCCCGCCTCCTCCCCGTCAGGTTTCCCCCTGACCAACCTCTCGCTCTCCGACTGCTCCACCACAAATGACCGGTACAATATGCATCCTACTTTCTTGCTTTCGAAGTTACATGCACATACAGGCAAGCTCACCTGTCTCAGCCCCTTGGCGTTGAATGGCGACTGTCTGACGAGCCTATGAGTGCCCTTCTCCCCGCTCAGATACCCGTAGGCATACCGCCCCTCCCCCTTGTGCATCCTGCCGCTATTCCCCATCAACCAACCCACCTGTCTCAAAACCATCCTTCTTTCACGTGGCTATTCAGTTCCATGCACACACACACACACCCACCCACCTGTCTGAGCCCCTTGGCGTTGAACGGTGACTGCCTAACGAGCCTATGAGTGCCCTTCTCCCCGCTCAGGTACCCATACGCATACCGCCCCTCCACTTCAAGAGTAGCACTCTTGATCCCTGCCTCCTCCCCGTCCGACCGCTCCACCACTCGCTTCTTAAAGCCCCGCCTGTCTGCCCACCGCGAGTACATGCGTAGGAGCATGTCCGCCCAGTCCTGGGAGACGTGGTGATATGGATACATGCGCACAAGAGAATGAGAAAGTAGAGACTGAAAACTGATCGCTCCACCACTCACTTCTTAAAGCCCCATCTGTCGGCCCACCGCGTGTACATGCGTAGGAGCATGTCCGCCCAGTCCTGGGAGACGTGGTGATATGGATACATGCGCACAAGAGAATGAGAAAGTAGAGACTGAAAACTGATCGCTCCACCACTCACTTCTTAAAGCCCCATCTGTCGGCCCACCGCGTGTACATGCGCAGAAACATGTCCGCCCAGTCCTGACATATGTTTGAAGGGCGGTTCAACCGCCCTGCGCCACAGCATACTGCTCCATGCGCCCTTCATCGCACCCCACCCCACCGCATTCCACCGCACTGAACCCCACCCCACCCCACCTGGGCGTCTGTGCCACATGCACCAGCAGCGATAGTCAGCCGGGCGCCCTTACGATCACACCGCCCTGCCAGCAGCTGAGCCACAGTGTATCGCTCCATGTGCCCCCACACCCACTGCAGCCCAGCGCACGACCGCATTGCATCACGTCACATCTCACCTGGGCGTCAGTGCCGCCTGCCCCCGGAGCGATAGTCAGCCGCACGCCCTTACGATCAAACTGCCCTGAGAGCAGCTGAGCCACAGCGTATCGCTCCATGTGCCCCCACACCCACTGCAGCCCCTCCCTCACCATTGCAACCCACACCACACCTCGCCCCACCGCACTGCACCCCACCCCACTGCATCCCACCTGGGCGTCAGTGCCGCCAGCGCCAGCAGCAATAGTCAACCGGGCGCCTTTACGATCAAACTGCCCTGAGAGCAGCTGAGCCACAGCGTATCGCTCCATGTGCCCCCGCACCCACTGCAGCCCCTCCCTCGCCTCCTCCACCAGTGACGCGTCTGGCATCTGCTCCGTTTCTAGCAGCTCCACTATAAGAGACACCTCCTCCACCTGTTGATGGTGTGGGGAGGGGGGGGGGGGTGTGTAATGATTCTTCCCAATCACTGCAGCCCCTCCCTTGCTGCTTCCACCAGTGACGCGTCTGGTGTCTGCTCCGTTTCTAGCAGCTCCACTATAAGACACACTTCCTCCACCTGTTGGTGGTGTGTGTGGGAAGGGGGGGGAGGGGAAGAGGGGGGAGGGGGGGGGGAGTATTATTTTAAAAAATCAGGCAGACCCTCCATTGCCTCCTCCACCAGTGACGCGTCTGGTGTCTGCTCCGTTTCTAGCAGCTCCACTATAAGGCACACCTCCTCCACCTGTTGGTGGTGGTGGTGTGGGGAAGAGGAGAGTGTGGGTGCGGGAGTGTAAAGTGATGACGTGCGGTACAGAAAGTGCAAGGAGTTTTTACAGGAGAAATGAAAGCCAGTAATCGATGTTCAATAGCCATAACATGAGACATGGATAAGTGTTGAGAATTATCATCAACTCCAATGGAGTCAAACAGAAGAAAGATCATCCCACATGAGTCGACTAAAAAATAGCCTTATACCCGTCGAGCTGGGTTGGAAAATGAGAGAATCGGACAGAGAGGGAATTAACCAAGCTGGTGTTGCACGGATTGCAGGTGAGCTCGTGGGAAGTTCGGACCAAATACCGGAGGGGGTATGGAAATACTGGACCTTATCAGCATTTCCATGCCCCCTCCCTTTTCACCATGACCGTCATATCTGATTCACCACAACCCCCACGCCTCTTCTTCGCAACAAACGACATTGCTATTTGCAGGCCTTGCCTTGTCTAATAAACGCCATAGGAGGTTGAGGTGAGGACAGTGTCTGTCAATCTTGTTTGCAACCTCCTCAACATCCCTCACCTCCTGCAACCTCCCTCAACCACATTCAACCTCGCTCAACGTCAACCTGCCTGACCCCATCCTTTGACTTCTCCGTCCACTAAGAGAGCTTATTCGCTACCCTACCCCCAGGCCCTCTTTCGCCATAAACACCACCTCTTTCCAATACCTTATCTGCGAATTCCTCAACCTCTCTGACCCCATCCTTCAGCTGCGTCAGCACTGTCCAGACTCCACAATCCCCATACCCCCCCGTCTGGCACATGAACCCCCCTATCTACCTTATCCGCCCTACCTTACACTCTCTGCCCTACCTTATCTGCAAATTCCTCAACCTCTCTGACGCCATCCTTGAGCTTCGTCAGCTGCGTCATTGGCTGCTCCGCCTGAGCGGGATCCTCCCACAAACCCTCCCTTGCTTGCAAGCTCCCTGCCTTCTTCGCCAGGCCCTACTTATCTGCATACCTTGTTCCCCATGCCTTCTTCCCCATGCCTTGTTCCCCATGCCTTCTTCCCCATGCCTTGTTCCCCGTACCCAACCCAACCTTATCTGCGAATTCCTCAACCTCCCGGACGCCGTCCTTCAGCTCCGTAAGCTGAGTCATCAGCTGCTGCGCCTGAGCTGGATCCTCCCACAGGTCCTCCCTTGCCACGTCACGCTCCAGGTCAGCAATGACTGCACGCTGACGTGGCACGTCGGCAGTGGCTCTGATGGCTGCCAGTTGCTCTTTAACTGTTTCTGCTTCTCGTCGAATCTCGTAGAACTCTGTGACGATCAAAACGAGGGGGAATGGGAGGTGAGAGGGGAGAGAAGGGAGAGAGCGGAGAGGGGGAGAATGGGGAAAGGAGAGGGGGGAGAGGAGGGAAATTGGGGAGGTGAGGGGAGGGGTGAGAGGGGTTGAGAGAGGGTGAGGGATTGGAATGTGGAGTGTGAGTGGGGAGATGGGGATGGGGAGAAGAGGTGGGAATGGGGGTGACTGAGGGAACGACAAAATGAGGTGTGGATGCGTAAAATTCACATCTAACCGTCAGGTTCACTCTTAGGTCAGTTCAAAAGCGATATACGCGATACTAGCAACCCACATACGGTGCATTAGCTCTTCGCCCGGTTGAGCCGCCGCGGTGACCGGCCCACGTCCAGCAGCTCGTTTCACGCCGTCGTCCAATCGCCGGCTGCCACGGCTGCTGCTGCTGCTGCCGGCGCCGCTGTTGCTGCTGCCCCATCTAATTCCGCAACCTTTGAACGAACTGGCAGAGAATTCTAATCTACTTGGTCGATTAGGTATGTGGTCCTTATGTAGTCTATCATTGGCGGAAAGAGCGACGCGGTACGACGAGGCATCTGAAGGGGACCGTGCAAGCCCACTGACACGAGCTTCGCCACGCTGGCACGCGCTGACGTGGACTATGCCACGATGGCACACGTTCTCTGAGCCGCTCCGCGGGCAGAATGAGCGGCTGCTGAGTTTGAGCGGTCCGGCGAGTCGCGTCGCGCGTAAGACTGTCGCCATGCTGGCGTACAGGCGAAACTAAACTCCGCCGTTCATCGCATGATCAGAAAGATTTGACAGCAGTACTGGACTCAACTCAGTCGAAATGTGACAGGAACTGTGCTTTCAGCCTTGAAATTGCCGAATGAGCCGAGTACAAATTCGTAAGGAGCAGTTCCATACCGTCAATCTCAAGGGGTTTGGCGACGCATTATAAAGGGTACAAGAGGTTACACAAAAACATCCTTCATTGCACGAAAATGCACTTCGTTTCAGAGAAAGCTGGACGCAAATAACTGCTAGTATCTCACAAACTCTAACAGGTTACAATGTGTTCTGGTATTTGGTTGAATCTCACACCCATTCCACTACAGAAAGGATTTGTGCCCTACCGGATTTGTGGCTTGATACAAAGCGCATTCTACCGTATATGCTTGTGGTACTGGAAAAAACACATTGGTTTTCAAGCAAATCATGCCATGATATTTGTGAGGCGAGCATTGCAGCACTGGCATCTACACTACAATCTCGACATGGGTAACATTCTCATTTGTGCGAGAGCACAGGCTATTTGGGCACCCACACTGGCATTGTTCTTCACTAGTGCAATGTCTGGCGGGAGACAAGGGTGGTGCAGGGGGGTGGGGGGAAGGTGGCAAGAGGAAGGAATAGAAGATGACATAAAGGTCAGGATGCATTTCTCACTAGTGAAATGTCCGGAGGGAGACACGGGTGGTGCAGGAGGAGGGATGAAAGGCGGCAAGAGGAGGGAATCGGTGATAAAAGGGACAGAAGGAATACAGTAGGCAACACTGAAGGATCAACTATCTGTATAGGAACACGAGGGGGGTAAATGTAATGTATGTGGGGCGAGAGTAGCAGGGATGGAGGATCTAATAAATCAAATGACAATCAGCTGTCCATGGCATGCAAATCACCCTCCTGTGATTTGTCGAGCACTTATGGACCTTCAATAGGAAACGTACGTTCACGCACGCGTGCACGCATGCGCGGTCACACACACACGTAAAAAATCTATGCGTGTCTAAATATGTATATACGGGCATCTGACTGTAAGGTACTTGCAGTGAGTGATGCGCTTCCTGTGAGCTCCTTGATTCGCTTGAGAACGAACGGGGTGACCTGTGGTGTGCCGCTTTCACACCCCATGGATACATGTATACACATACAGACCCATCTGGCTAAAACGTACTTGCAGTGAGTGACGCCCCTCCTGTGAGCTCCTTGATTCGCTTGAGCACGAACGGTGTGACCTGTGCCCTCTTCACGTCCTGTGCGCTGTGTTTAAATGTATATATAAACACATGTGGGACTGTCACGTACTTGCAGTGAGTGACGCCCCTCCTGTCAGCTCCTTGATTCGCTTGAGCACGAATGGGGTGACCTGTGCGCCCTTCACGCATTGTGTGCTGTGACGTGTGGCAGGCAAAGAGACGACGCAGGGAGAGTGGGCATGAAAGAAGAGTGGGGAAACGGGGGAAGAGAAACAGGTAGAACAGAGTGATGGTATTCATTCTTTTTTATGCAAAGGACTTGGTTAATAATAACTCACACTTAGAAGACAAAAATGAAAACCGTGAGACGGGAATGTGCAATTTCAAGCTCAACTGAAATTCGCCGTACACTATACACTGTGCATACCTGCTGCTGCTGTCAGCACGTCTGACTTAGCTTCAGCAAAACCACCTCCCAGTAAAGCACTCACTCTGCTTCTGCTAGTGCCTTCTGCGTTGCTCGCTCCACCTCCTCCCTCCGCAACCACTGCCACTGCTGCTGCTGCCAGCACCTAAACCTTAAAACCCAAGACCCGAATTACACAACGAAGTCAACAGAATTTTTGTAGGTTCGGAAAACCCCAGAAGGAGGTTCGGTTGGAAAATCAAAAACCAATCCCGTCGAAAACCAACTGAAAATCTGGACCAATCGCGTGAAAGTGGTGACACTTCTCCACCCGACTCGGTAATTCTGGCCTGGGCCTTTAAGCTTCAAAACCACCTCCCAGTAAAGCACTCACTCTGCTTCGGCAAGTGCCTGCTGCGTTGCTCACTCCACCTCCTCTGCCTCTGCTGCATCTGACAACACGCCAGACTTAGCTTCATCTGAACCAGTAAAACACTCACTCTGCTTCGGCAAGTGCCTGCGCGTTGCTTGCTCCACCTCCTCCGCCTCTGCTGCCACTATGCTGCTGCCAGCACGTCAGACTTTACTTCAGCAAAACCCCCTCCCAGTAAAGCACTCACTCTTCTTCTGCTAGAGCCTGCAGCGTTGCTCGCTCCACCTCCTCCCTCCACAACTACTGCCACTGCTGCTGCTGCCAGCACCTAAACCTTAAGCTTCAGCAAAACCACCTCCCAGTAAAGCACTCACTCTGCTTCGGCAAGTGCCTGCTGCGTTGCTCACTCCACCTCCTCTGCCTCTTCTGCATCTGACAGCACGTCAGACTTAGCTTCATCCGAACCAGTAAAACACTCACTCTGCTTCTGTGAGTGCCTGCTGTGTTGCTCGCTCCACCTCCTCCGCCTCTGCTGCCTGCCCCGAGGGCACCGGCACTGCAATCACCATGCCACTCGAGAGCTGCATGCGGTGGTTGGCGTCTGTAGAGGGAGGGAGGAGAAGTAGGAGCAGCGGGTGCAGTGGTGGGAGAGGGAGAGGGAGAGGGAGAGGGAGAGGGAGAGGGAGAGGGAGAGGGAGAGGGAGAGGGAGAGGGAGAGGGAGAGGGAGAGGGAGAGGGAGAGGGGAGCAACCGCGAGAGAAGGTGATCCCTGGTTCCTGGCAGCTTCTTCTGCCTCTGCTGCCTGCCCCTAGCACACCGGCACTGCTATCATTATGCCTTTGGAAAGGTGCAGATGCCACTCGCGAGCTCCAGGCGGAGTGCAAAGGAGTGTGAGTGCGTGTGAGTGGAAACGCAGAGGAAACACATGGCAAAAGTGGAAGACGGAAAAGTGCAAAGAAAATTCACAATCGGGAAACTGGATGGTATCTAAAAAACGGGGAAAACTAGGTGGCTAGCTCTTTGGAACTTGGAGATACAGACATGCGAAGAATCTTCAGAAGAGCAGTGAAGCGGAAAAGAAATACCAGATTCTCAAAGTGATTAGACGAGTTGTTTCAAAGGTAAACAAAAGAATCAAGAGAGGACAAAGAGTTGGTACAAGGGCGCACCAATGAGAGCTGCACAGCTGGCAGGGTCGCTGAGAGTGGCGGGTGCCTGCAGGGTGAAAGAGGGGAGGAGGATAGGTTGATTGGGAGAGAGATGGAGTGAGTGGGAGGGAGGTGGGTTGAGTGGGAAAGAGATGAGGTGAGTAGGAGAGAAATGTGGTGAGTGGGAGAGTGAAGGGGTGGTGGCGCGAGAGGGGAAGGAGAGTTGAGGCTGGTTCGAAAAATGCTATGTCATATCATGCTTATCCCACATGCGTTGAGAGAGAGAGGCACTGACAGGGCAGCCTGATTGTGGTGTGAAGAACGCTGGGAACTCCTTGGCACCGTACACCACCACTGTCACCCCTTGCGTCTCCTGAATTCGGGATGTGAGAAGAGCCAATTGAGAGCCGGGGAATAGATTTCAACATTCGACAGATGGGAACTCCATGGCACCGTACACCACCACTGTCACCCCTTGCGTCTCCTGTAGTGGGGCGAGGGGCAGGCGAATGGCAGAGAAAAAAATGGAGAACAGGAGAATACATTTCATGTAAATCCATGGATACGTAGATTTACAATAAACTCCTTGGCACCGTACTGGTGTTCTAGGGTGCAACAAATTCACTCCCACTCACACCACTCACCAGGTATTCAAGCGTGCGAGGAATATCGAGCACTGACTTGACTCCCGCACACACCACGGCTACAGAGAATGCAAAGCCTCAATCCCCAATCCCCAATCCCCACACCCCACACACCCACACATACCACTCACCAGGTATTCAAGAGTGCGAGGAATATCGAGCACTGACTTGACTCCTGCACACACCACGGCCACGGGTGTTCGACCCAACTCTGTAAGGTCAGACGAGATGTCCATTGCTGGGGGGGGTTGGGGGGCGAGGGGCGCGGGGAGGAGGGAGGGGGGGGATCGAGTTGGGAAGACAGAGATTGCCCGGAAGCTTGCGGGGGACAGTGGAAGGGGAGGGTGGGGAAGGGGAATAGTAGCCCTGTGACGATACTCCCCTGTGACGATACTCCCCTGTGACGATACTCCCCTGTGACGATACTCCCCTGTGACGATACTCCCCTGTGACGATACTCCCCTGTGACGATACTCCCCTGTGACGATACTCCCCTGTGACGATACTCCCCTGTGACGATACTCCCCTGTGACGATACTCCCCTGTGACGATACTCCCCTGTGACGATACTACCCTGTGACGATACTCCCCTGTGACGATACTCCCCTGTGACGATACTCCCCTGTGACGATACTCCCCTGTGACGATACTCCCCTGTGACGATACTCCTCTGTGACGATACTCCCCTGTGACGATACTCCCCTGTGAGCTCTTGTGAGATGTCCATCGTTGGCGGGGGATGGGGGCGGGGGAACGGGGATGGCTTTTGAAAACGAGCCTTTTTTTTTCGAATTTCTTACTCCCCTTGCCTACATATCTTTCCCGCCCCCCCTTGACTGCTCTCCCACTCTCCCTTTACTCCACTCTCTCCCTCTCCCTTGCTTCTTTTCCTCCATCCTTAGCTTCTGCTCTCCTATCCCCTTACTGCTTTTCCCCCACTCCCCTCACTTCTCATCCCCCCCTCTCCGCTTACTGCTCTCTCCCCCTCGGTGCACGCCTCCTATGCCACCCGTGACAAACACAGCTATGCCCACCTGTGAACATGGAAAGGAGCAAGACACAGAAAGAGGCAGGCATGGAAAAGAGGCAGGCATGGAAAAGAGGCAGGCATGGAAAAGAGGCAGTCACGGAAAAGAGGTATGTACAGAAAGGAGGCAGGCAGGCAGGCATGGAAAATAGGCAGGCACACAAAAACCGTGGTACTCACGCTGCATGGTATGATGCATGAGATGGTACTCACGCTGCATGGTATGATGCATGAGATGGTACTCACGCTGCATGGTATGATGCATGAGATGGTACTCACGCTGCATGGTATGGTGCATGAGATGGTACACACGCTGCATGGTATGATGCATGAGATGGTACACACGCTGCATGGTATGATGCATGAGATGGTACTCACGCTGCATGGTATGATGCATGAGATGGTACTCACGCTGCATGGTATGATGCATGAGATGGTACTCACGCTGCATGGTATGATGCATGAGATGGTACTCACGCTGCATGGTATGATGCATCAACAACAACCCACCTTGTGAGCAAGCAGCATGGTGGCCGATACAGTGGTGGCTCCTGTGAGGGCTTGAGATGACATGCAGTGTGCGCACACAAGCTACACACACTGTGGTGCGCACATGGTATGATGCATCGACACAACAACCCACCTTGTGAGCAAGCAGCATGGTGGCCGATACAGTGGTGGCTCCTGTGAGGGCTTGAGATGACATGCAGTGTGCGCACACAAGCTACACACACTGTGGTGCGCACATGGTATGATGCATCGACACAACAACCCACCTTGTGAGCAAGCAGCATGGTGGCCGATACAGTGGTGGCTCCTGTGAGGGCTTGAGACACCTGCGGTGACAGAAAGAAGGAAAATGAACAACAGAACAATGTTTTTTTTTTTTTTTTTTTTTTTTTGCAGTGAACCATGTCTCAAGAAGTAGCATGGTGGCCGACACACACAGAGGTGACTCCTGTAAACGCGGAGGAGGACAGAGGGGGCACGTGGGTGAATGGCAGAGGATGCATGGCTGGCTGCTATCGCTACTCACTCCTGGCAGTAAATGCATTCGACATGGCAAGTTTCACTGCACGAGGGGGAGAACAATGCTGTTTCTCAGAAGCCTACAAAGCAGGCTTTTAAAATATCTCACTGCAATGTGGCAAGTTTCACTGCACGAGGGGGAGAACAATGCTGTGAGTAAGCACCGTATTAGGCAAGCCTCACCACCCCACCGCCCTAGAAACAAGTAGATTTTTGAGACGTCTAAAAAATCTACTTGTTTCACGTAGTTTCACTGCACGAGGGGGAGAACATTGTTGTGAGTAAGCACCGTAATAGGCATGCCTCGCCTCACCACCACCCTAGCTCCATACCGCTGCCTCACCACCAGCGCCACCCACCGCACCTCACCATATCTCACCACACTCCACCATGCCCCACCACGCCTCACCACAAGAGCCACCACCACACTTCACCACGCCTCACCACTGACTTACCACGCCCCACCACGCCTCACCACTGACTTACCACGCCCCACCACGCCTCACCACTGACTTACCACGCCCCACCACACCTCACCACGAGAGCCACGTCTCTTCTGGCAGCCTTCACAGCCGAATGGCCGTCCCGTGCCAGGTGCTGCAGCTGAGAGGCCGTCAACCCTGCAGGGGTGTGAGTAAGGAGAGTGGGGACGGGAGATGGGGAAACGTGTGACAGGGTGTGCGAAAAGGGCAGCATGACAATCTCTTGCCAGCTGCTGCAGCTGAGAGGCCGTCAGCCCAGCAGGAGTGTGAGTTGGGGGGGGGGGGGGGAGGGGGCAGTGGGGAGGAGAGGAGGAGAAATGAATGACAGGGAGTGGGGTAATGGCTTTAAGGCCGCATGGCCGTCCCGTGCCATGCCAGGTGCTGCAGCTGAGAGGCCGTGGTGGCAATGCTGGCAAAAGTGGAATGGTGACTGGCACACCCCCCCTCTCCTCCCTTCCTCAAGTCACCCGAACGACTTTTGAGACGTCTCAAAAGCTGCTGCAGCTGAGAGGCCGTGGTGGCAATGCTGGTAATGGTGGCATGGTGGCTGGCACACCCCCCCTCCCCTCCCAAACCCTGTATTTTTTAGACGTCTCAAAAATACACTTCTATCACGTAGCTGAGAGGCCGTGGTGGCAACGCTGCTGGCAATGGTGGCAATGGTGGCAATGCTGCTGGCAATGGTGGCAATGGTGGCAATGCTGCTGGCAATGCTGCTGGCAATGCTGCTGGCAATGCTGGCAATGCTGGCTGGCAAGCTGAGAGCTTGCAGCCGTTCTGCACACCCCCCTCCCCTTTCTTCGTCAAGTCACCCGAACGACTGCAAGCTCACTCATTCGGGACATCTCGTCTCAGGAGTCGCTCACATGATGATGGCAATGACAGCTGGCTGTAAATGATGATGGCAATGGTGGCCGGCCGGCACATCCCCTTCCCCTCCTGCCCTCACGTTCTGAACGGCTTGCAGGCCCGCCCACCTACCTATGCACGGCCGCCCATCAATGATGGCTTGAGACGTTTTGAGACGTTCTGAGACGTTCTGAACGGCATGCAGGCCCACCCACCCACCTACCTATGCACGGCCGGCCGTCAATGATGGCAATACGGCCATGCGGCCAATGACTCAAACATGCATGCGGCCCACCTGAGGCACCAATCACTCACCTATGCACGGCCGGCCGTCAATGATGGCAATGCGGCCATGCGGCCAATGACTCAAACATGCATGCGGCCCACCTGAGGCACCAATCACTCACCTATGCACGGCCGGCCGTCAATGATGGCAATGCGGCCATGCGGCCAATGACTCAAACATGCATGCGGCCCACCTGAGGCACCAATCACTCACCTATGCACGGCCGGCCGTCAATGATGGCAATGCGGCCATGCGGCCAATGACTCAAACATGCATGCGGCCCACCTGAGGCACCAATCACTCACCTATGCACGGCCGGCCGTCAATGATGGCAATGGTGGCCGGCACTGCCCCCTCCCTCCGGATAATATCCTCCACGCCCTCTGCTGCCTGCAGGTTCTGTGGATACGGCATCCCTTGGGTGGTGGGGGCAGGGGGTGAAGGGAGAAGCACAGGCAGCTCAGCAGTGACGGCAATGGTGGCCGAGACTGCCCCCTCCTGGCGGATAATACCCTCCACGCCCTCTGCTGCCTGCAGGTTCTGTGGGTACGGCATGCCTTGGTGGGGGCGACAGTGAAGAGGGGAGAAAGAAAAGGATGGGAGAGGAGGAGAGGTGTGGGGAGAGGCCCGCCCGTCAGTCAATGATGGCAATGGTGGCTGGTACAGCGCCCTCCCCCGTCAGTCAATGATGGCAATGGTGGCTGGTACAGCGCCCTCCCCCGTCGGTCAATGATGGCAATGGTGGCTGGTACAGCGCCCTCCCCCGTCGTTCAATGATGGCAATGGTGGCCGGCACAGCCCCCTCCTTTTGGATAACATCCTCCACGCCCTCTGCTGCCTGCAGGTTCTGTGGATACGGCATGCCTTGGGTGGTGGGGGCAGGGGGTGAAGGGAGATGCGGGAGCCACGATGGCAATGGTGGCTGGTACAGCGCCCTCCCGGCGGATAATAGCCTCCACGCCTTCTGCTGCCTGCATTTGAGGCGCCTCAAGAATGATGGCAATGGTGGCTGGTACAGCGCCCTCCCGGCGGATAATAGCCTCCACGCCTTCTGCTGCCTGCAGGGGTTCTGAGGGTTCTGGGGGTGGGGGAGGCGGGTGCGAGAGGTCGGTAGGGCAGGGATGATGTTTAGCCGGCACAGCCCCCTCCTTCCGAATAGTACCCTCCACGCCCTCTGCTGCCTGCAGGTTCTGTGGGTACGGCATGCCTTGAGGGGGGGCGAGGGGGGTGGGGGAGAGGGTGGGTGGGGGCGGCGGGTGCGAGAGGCTGGCAGGGCCAGGGAAGACGTTCAGCCGGCACTGCCCCCTCCTGGCGAATAATATCCTCCACGCCCTCTGCTGCCTGCAGGTTCTGTAAGTGGGTATGGCATGCCTTGGTTGATGGGGGGAGGAGGGGGGTGGGGGCGGCGGGTGCGAGAGGTAGGTAGGGCAGGGGAAGAGTTTTAGCCGGAACAGCCCCCTCCCTCAGGAAAATGCCGGATAATGCCCTCCATGCACTCTGCTGCCTGCAGATTCTGAGGTTACGGCATGCCTTGGGAGGGGAAGAGGTGGGGAAAAGAGGGAAAGGAATGAGGCAAGAGCGATGGCCGGCAGAGCCCACTCCCTCTGCTGCCTGCAAATTCGGGGTACGGCATGCCTTGGTTGGTGGGATCGAAAAAGGGGGGTGTGTGAGGAGAGGTGCGGACGAGGCGGAGGAGGGATGCCTGCCTGCAGATTCTGTGACAAGGCATGCCTTGGTGGGGACAGGGAGGAAGGGGGAAAAGGGGAGACGAGGAGTGGGGAGAATTCACCACAGCAGCAACCCCAACCTCTTCTTCTGTCCCTGCAAAATGGGCTTGATAAGTCCGTGCAGTCAACAGAATCCGTGCAGTCAACAGAATCTGTGCAGTCAACAGAATCCGTGCAGTCAACAGAATCCGTGCAGTCAACAGAATCCGTGCAGTCAACAGAATCCGTGCAGTCAACAGAATCCGTGCAGCCAACAGAATCCGTGCAGTCAACAGAATCCGTGCAGCCAACAGAATCCGTGCAGTCAACAGAATCCGTGCAGTCAACAGAATCCGTGCAGTCAACAGAATCCGTGCAGTCAACAGAATCCGTGCAGTCAACAGAATCCGTGCAGTCAACAGAATCCGTGCAGTCAACAGAATCCGTGCAGTCAACAGAATCCGTGCAGTCAACAGAATCCGTGCAGTCAACAGAATCCGTGCAGTCAACAGCATCCGTGCAGTCAACAGAATCCGTGCAGTCAACCGAATCCGTGCAGTCAACCGAATCCGTGCAGTCAACAGAACCCGTGCAGTCAACAGAATCCGAAGAATCAACAAAATCTGAAGCTTGTACGGGATTTGAGACGTCCCAAAGCTCATCATCAGGCCACGTTTCCGCGGTTTCCGGAGCCTAAAGGTTCCGCGGATCGGAGCACGGCGGGGTTGGCAGTGTCTGACAAGCTTGCAGCGCATTGCTGCTGGACCACACTGAACCGCGGCGTACCATGACAGATTATGGTCGATTCTAGCGCTACGATAGGGCGCCCGGCGAGCAAGGCGCGCTTTACTTCAGCCGACAGCGTGATCCCCGCCGCCTCTGCCGCCGCCACTCGCGCTGCCGCCGCTTCTGCGACTGTGGCTGGCATTCCGGATGCGGAAGCGCTACGGGACAAACAGAATAAAATCTGAGCTACCGAGTTCGAGCGAAGAATTCTCCACCGGGACCAAGAATGTACACTCCAATATAAATCTGCGGCGTTCTAGACGGGCGTTCTAATCGAGCCGTGCGGCTGTCACCCAGCCGTGCTGTCGTGGCTAAGTTATGTCAGCTTTGTTGGGACATCGAGTGCCGCGGCTATTAGCGCGTACGCGGCCAACAAGCAAACTTCGACAGTGTGCATGTAATCCTAAAAATATAGAGCGACATATGTTTAATACATCGGAATTGCAGCTGTGTTTGACTGATGGCTTTCACGAATGGGGTGGTGACCAGAGGCAGATTTTGCAATAAGCACCTAGTGGTGGTGACCCACAATTACACAATTCTTCAGCTATCACTCAACACGCTCATTATCGATTGTAGCTACATGGAAAGCAGCACCTCATACATGTATGCACATTGCGCTGTAACTGCAAAAGCACAACTGAACAGTGATTTATGTAGTGCTAAACAAAATCATCTTTCCAAAGCCTTGGAAGCAAACGCGTTATTTAGTAACGGTCATCATATCTGTCTTTGCGGTCTCCGCCACCAGATCTGTCATAGGGACCGGACCTAGGCTTGCCACCACCACCACCGCGGTCAGACCCATAACGGCCTCCGCCGCCTCCGCCGCCGTAGCCGCCGCCACCACCACCGCCATAACCGCCACCACCACCGCCTCCACTAGGGCACTCGCGGGCGAAATGCCCGTCTTCGCCGCACTTGTAGCAGCCGCCTCCTCCACCGCCGGCGCCGCGGTCCCTCGAGCCGTACCCGCCACCGCCACCGCGATCACCACCGTATCCGCCACCACCGCCGCCGTAACCACCGCCGCCGCCGCCGTATCCGCCACCGCCGCTGCGCCCACCTCCACTTCCACGAGGTTGAGCAACGTTGACGGTGATAGTCCGGCCGTCAAGTTCCTTGCCGTTCATGGCCTTGATAGCATCGTCCATGCCGGCCTTGTCGTTGAATGTCACAAATCCAAACCCTCGGGAGCGGCCGGTTTCTCGGTCATTCACAACCTGAACAGGACGGTTTCCATCGCAACGAGCTCAGGTAAAGAGTTTCCCAACATAAGAACCGGAACGTGCAGTCAAGCTCCCTCATATCAGAACACGGAACCCGGCCATGCATGCTTCGTCAGAAATCCGCCAATCAGGCGTCGTTAAACCCCGTCAATCAATGTCCAGGAGCAGCAGATCCAGACCGAAACATTAAATCGGCGAGGCCGGTAGCGCTCAAAAAGGTAACCCATGAAGTTCCGAAAGTCACAATCATCGAACCTTAGCGTCAACAGCTCCATAGTCGTGGAAAGCATCCGAAAGAGCGCGGTCATCCGTGCCCCACGAAAGGCCACCCACAAAGCAGCGGAGCTCCTCGTCACTCATACTGAATCAAGGCCGATTGCTGCACGAACAGAGATAACAGGTCAAGCGTGATAGCAACACACAGCCTTCAGCTCCCTCAGCTGATGTTGCTGTTGCTGATGCCTGCTGCCGAAAGGGTAGAAGTGAAACTGCTTCTGTTGGAGAAGAAGCGAAATGAGGGTTTAGGTAAAATTGCTCAAATTTGTATGGTATGGGCTGGGTTGCCTTGGGAGAGGTTGGGTGGAGGTTGAGGGAGGAGAATATCCGAGTCAAATTAGCTGAACGGTCGTCGATCTCCCATCCGATGAAGTTGGGCGGACGGCTCCGATCACACGAATTCCCATACGTATATTTTTGTGACGCGAGCCAAAACTCTTTCCACGCTGGCTGGGCACGGCAACCTCTTCCACGAGGGAGGCTTTTGCCTTCTTTGCGCTGGCTTGGGACCAATCAGGTGACGACCCTGAAAGTATCTTCGGGGTTGCGAAGTGTTTGTGATGCTATGCAGCTGTTGAACGTGGAAAGCATTTGGGTGAAATGATGTAAAATACACTTTCTTTTTCGGTCCTTCGATTCACAGTTCACCCAGTTTAGGAAAAGCGTAGAACAAAGCCTGGGCTCTCCGCTTTGGGCTCTGGGACGAAGTTATCCTGGATCTGGCCGCCATGGATCTTGCCGATCGGCTTAACTCGTTCGCTTTAAGAGCTCGCTTGGTTACTGCTTACAACAAGGTCATTTCTGGAATTAGCTCATCGCGACTCGCAGTTCGATATAACTTTCGTGCCTACTTAACGGGCATCATGTCGGACTCGTCATCGGGCTTTTCCCACGCGAATGCCTTCATCATGGAGTTCTCGGAGTTTAAGCTGCAGTTCCCTAGGCTCGCTTCTCTGTTTGTCAAACATCCTAAGTTCAACGACAATACACTACTACGATATCTGCTTATCAAGTCCTTGGGACCTCACAACTCAGGGATTTCAACCTCGGAAACTCAGCACCAACTCCTAGAACGATGGTCTGCCTGCAACGTTTTACTACTACTTAAGCAGCTTCAGCGCAGCAGTTTGTCATCAGTTGTTCTTCAAGGTCCTCTGTGGCCTCCTAACTTGCTCTTTTCTCAGCTTCCTTCATCTGCTCTGCTCACGATGCCGCCGAAAGGCTCGCGCAAGGTCGCCACGGATGTGTCGCCGCCGGAGGTGAATGCTCCCCTGGTTGACAAGCCTCTTGATCCTGACGGCACGGTGGGAGAGGGGAAGGCGAGCGACGATGTTACCCCTTCGGTCAGTGTAGTCACGGAGGCTGGCTCTTCAGGCTTATCTGTGGAAGACAAGGCTGTGAGGGAGGATGTGGAAGAGGAACTACTGGATGTCTCGGATGATGAGCTCGACATTGACTTCAGCACGGATGAGTTGTGTAATCTGCGTCACACGGCCATTCTGCTTATTCCGTTCATCCTGGTTCAAGAACTCGCCTCGGTGGTTTCGACCGTTAAAGTGTTGATGAAGCGTGTCTGGTGCTCCGCCCTGTCTGCTGATGTCGTTAACACCGTGAAGTTTCAGATCTTGCAACCCGCTTACATCGCGAAGATCAGGTTCTGCAGGCTCCAGGTCTCCTTCCTGCTGGAGGGGGACGCGACAGGGGTGCGTCAGTTTGAGGTGGATTATCAGAGGGTGAATGGCAGACTGGTTCGGCTCTACTGGCAGCACACGGATAACCCTGCGTTTGTCAGGGAACGGTCGTCCAACCCGCTCGCTGTTGAGGTTATCTTCCGTAATGTCTCCGCTTCGGTTACGCCGGAGGCTCTGCAGCGGCTGTTGGCTCACTATAAGTTGAAGATCAGTCAGCAGCCTATCTACAAGGCTGGTCTCCACTTTCACAGGGTCCTGCATCCGATTACTGGTGCTGACACTGAGGTTATCAAGGGGTTGGTGGTGCCTCATGATGGGAAGGCGCGCTGGCGTCACGCGATCAACGACCCGTCTGACCCTGAGAAGCTGATCCTGATCCACTACTCGTTGTTGTCCTGCAAGTTGTGTGGGGGTCAACACGAAGAGAAGCATCATGATGCGTTTGTTGTGGAACGGCAGGGTAACATCGGCAAGTGGAACTTGACCCTTGGTCGGGTCCACAGGATTAATGGTAACGGAGTTCATCCGCATGCTGGTTTCTCGTCTTATCTTTCTTCTTTCCTCACTGCTAACTTGGCCTTGGATCATGGCAGCGTCCTCACTGAGGCTCAATCAGATTACCCTTGCTATCTTGAAGGATCCCGCGCTTGTGCTAATCTCTACCGGCAGCCAGAGGGAAGAATGGTTATGCACCCAGATGGACTGCAAGAAGGCGCACGGCACGTCCTTCATGGAGGCTTTCGACCATACCCGTTTGGCGAGCCATCTTTCTCACCTCGAAAAGCTTGGCACGGCCACCAAGCTTACCCTCGAGAAGGCGAATCTCAGCGTCGTCAGGAAGGAGTTTGGGATCCAGGGCTCCAACGGCACGGTCGCATCGCAGCAGCAGCGTCGGTAGTGCTCTCGTTAGCGTCGCCAGTGTACTCGGTAGTCGGTGTTGTTGTCTTTTTTACCCTGTGGATGCGTAGGGGTCACTTCTCTGTTGTAAATGGCTAATAAGGACACCCTCACCTTCGCGACACTGAACGTCAATGGATTAGGGGACAGAACCAAGCAGGCTCGAGCTCTAGACTGGTCTAGGAAAGCGGCAGACTTCGTAGTACTGACAGACACTAGATTACCGACTGATCACCCGTACTGGAGTAGCCTCACCTCTTTTACAGTAGCCGTCTCTTCAGCGCCTACCAAGGCTGGGGGGGTAGCGCTCCTCTGTAGGAATCCTCACTTTAGTTTTAAAGACGTCGTCGCTCACCCATCGGGTAGAATCTTGCAAGCCTGCGCACACGGGCTCAGAACAGAGATCGTAGTCTTGGGGGTTTACTTTCCGGCAGACTCAGCGGCTAGGAATAGCTTTGTCGCACATACCCTTGGTCCGGTGGTGGACCTTATCCCTCCCTCTTCTCACCTTATTATAGCTGGGGATCTGAACCTCGTAGAAAACCCGCTTCTGGACAAGTCTTCCAAGCTTGGTTCGTCGTACGAGAATGACAAGCTATTCCGTCGTTGTAGCGTGTTTCAGATCTCGGACGCTTTCAGGACCCTGCACCCACGGAAGAAGGAGTTCACGTTTTACTCTCGAGCGAAAAAGGCTAGCTCTATAATAGATCGTGTTCTCCTCTCGCACTCGCTCTTACCTCATCTTGATTCCGCCGTCCATGTTATGCCGGAGGAGACCATCTCGGACCATGATTTCGCTGCGAAGATCGGGCTGCGACTGTTCCTGAGGACTAAGTCTAGGCCAGGTCTCTGGAAGATGCCGCCTGCCATGATCAACAAACCAGGGGTTAGGCGTATTATTGAAGCCACTGTGAAGTGGACGCGGGTAACTGATGGCAGCAGCTTTGAGCTCCTTACATCGCGCCTTAATGCCGGTCTTCGCTCCTACGCTCGGGAGGAAAACAAGAGGGTTCGGGCCACCTCCTCTCATCTCGCCGCTGTTGTCGCCAGGCTGAAGCAGGAGGCCATGGCGGATCCACACGGCTTCGCCCATGGGGAGCTGCTGGAGGCTAAGGCGAAGCAGCTCAAGGAATATCATGAGTCTCGGAGGGAGCGCCAGCACCTGTGTGCCGGGACAAGGGAGGAAATGGTTGGGGAGATTGCTTCAAAGCACCTGACTGGGAAAATCAAGGCGCGGAAGGCAAGGACGCAGATAGCAGAACTACATGTAAATGGGAAGGTGATCACGGACACTAAGGGTATTCTGGGTGCTGCCTCGGATTTTTTCTCCGGTATTTTCGGAGAGGATCGCCGGCGCAGCTCTAAGAAGTGGGTCCCTGCACCAGGCAGGAAAATCTCAAGGGAGGCAGCTGTTGGGCTGGAAGCGGATTGGACGGAGGCTGAAGTAAAGACGGCCTTTAAAGCGATGGCGGCGAGGAAGGCTCCGGGCAGTGACGCCTTGCCGAAGGAGCTGTTTGAAGCTCATTGGGACTCCCTGGGGGGTAGCTTCATGGCGCTGGCTGATGACTTCGCTTCAACGGCCTCGCTTCCTGCGGAGACAAAAGAGGCTGTCACAATTCTGTTGCACAAGAAAGGCGAGCGGGAGAGCCTTAACAACTACCGTCCAATAACCTTGCTTAAGTTCTCTTACAAGGTGCTGGCGAGGGTGGTTGCTGACCGCATCAAGAGGGTTCTTCATCAGGTCATCTCGCCTGAGAAGTATGGGTTTATACTGGGGCGGAGGCTGTCGGATGCGGTGGCTCTCGTTGCGGACGTCATCGATGCAGCGAAGCATGGCAGCGAGGACTGGTATCTGCTGCTGGTGGACTTCCAGAAGGCGTTTGATTCGGTCTCTCGGGTTTTTATCTTCAAGGTGTTAAGAAGCATGGGTTTCCCGGAGCGTTTTGTCTCCTGGGTGGAGGGCCTGCACGATGGGACCACGACAAAGCTGCTTATCAACAGATGGATGAGTGAAGGACTGCAGGTGCGGTCGGGGGTTAGGCAGGGGTGCCCTCTGGCCCCTTACCTCTTCCTCTGCGCGGTGGAGCCGCTGGCGCAGATGGTGGAAAAGCGTAAGCTGGGGCTGTGTAAGGCGGAGCGGAGGTTGGCGTACTTAGGGTACGCCGACGACACGACTCTTATCCTGCAGGGGAAGCAGTAGATAAAGAAGGCGGTTAGAGTTCTCGCCGCGTTTGAGCTGGAGCCCGGCCTGGCGACGAATAAAAGCAAGTCTGTTGTGATGCCGCTGGGGGTGAATCTTACCATGAATCCCATTGCGTCGGACGGTTTCAAGTGGGCTGCGGCGGATGAGGCGGAGCGTCTTCTGGGGGTCTGGATAACGCCGAACGGCAGCTGCCTGCCAACATGGGAAAGGGCGTTAGAGGACATCCTGGGGAAGCTGAAGAAGTGGCATGAGAAGTACCTCACGGAGACAGCGAGGGGAGCGGTGGTGGATAGCTATATCTCGCCGAAAATCTCGTTCCAGGCGCAGGTCTATCCTCCCCTGGAGGAAATCTGGCTGGAGATTGCCAAGACGCTTCATAACTTTGTCTCGGCGAACCGTCCGACGTCGGCGAAGGTCTTTATCCTGTGGAGCAAGGAGCTGGTGTACCTGCCAAGGGACTTGGGGGGACTCGGAGTGAGAGATCCTGGCATTCTCTTGGCTTGCTTGGCTGCAAGGCGGGCGGCGGCGATGGCTACGGAAACGGATCTGCTCAAGCGGGATATCATGATTAAGGCAGCGGAGCTTCCGATGGGGCTTGATTCCTTCACGGCCCATAAGAGTCTTATTCGCTACTGGAAGGGCCGGGGGACGCGGTGGAAGATGATCTGTGACGCCATACTGAAGTCACCTTTGGGGGAGCGGCCGCTAGCGTCAGACGCAGGGGACGTGGCGCGGGAGCCTCTTCTTTTCAATCGACGGATTTTAATCAGTGGGAAAACGCCCCTCGGGGGGCAGAAAGCGGCGGCGCGATTAAAGGACTGGAACCTGGGAAGGCTATGTTGCATCGGCGGGGATGGGGCCCCGTGTTTTAAGTCGCTGGAGCAGTTAACGACAGAGCTAGGGGAGAAGGCATCTGCGAGGCTGGCGCTTAAGGCGCTTGCGGCGGCACCGGAGGAGTGGAGGAAATTGCTGCTTACAGCTGGTGGGGCCTGCTCGGCTGTCTTACGGCATCAGCAGCTCCCGTATGTCTCAAGCGAAGGCATTCTCTCTCTGAAGCAGATGCGGAAGTTTTGGGGTCAGGCCAGGCCTCCCGCAAGCAGGTGAAGTGGGGGAGCAGATGGGGCAAGAGAATCAACTGGAAGGAGGTCATTGCCATCAGGGACTCGCGAGCGATCCCGAACCGTCCACGTAGTGTTTTACTAAGGATCCACGCCCTCAATCTGCAGGTGGGAGAGAGGGTGGCGTTTCTCAGCTGTAAGCCGGTCTGCCCGTACTGTAGCGAAGAGGAAACCCTGGATCACTGCCTCTTTACCTGCCCGGCTATCCAATCGGTCACCTCTGTCTTGGTGCGTGCTTTGCGCATGATAAACCCCTCCCGTCGTGTCTCCTCGCTGGGGGACATGCTTTTCAAGCGCGCCGGTTCTAAATCTGCCTTTCCAGAAGCGACTTTGGCTGCGATTGGTCTACATCAGCTTTGGGTGGAGCGCTGTGATGCGGTGTTCCGAGGGGGGGAATTCAGAGCGCGCCGGGTTCTGCGACGAATTGAGCGGGCGTTCTATCTGCATGCGAGAATTTACACGAGGGAGATGGCGGCAAAACTGCGCAAGGGTGCGGGCGGTACTCGGAAGAGTCAACTTGCGAAATCTTTGGTGGAGGAGCAACGACTTTTCGGAAGGATAACGGTTGCTGACGGAGCGAAGTGGAAGTGGACCAGTGGCTTCTCGGCTCTTTGGTCCAAGCAGCGTAGGGCACGTGGCCCTGTTTAAGCACCCCCTCTAGGGACGGCTCTTGTCGCTCCCTTCAAGCACAGTTACGACTGTATTTGATTCTTTACACTTGTGTATGTCGGTGTTTCTAATCAATTTAATAATAATAAAAAAAACACTTTCTTAGTTTATCTAGTGTTATACGTCGAATGGTGAATGTACATGAGGGATATTTAGCATGCGTTTTTGTTCGAAAATAGTTTGACTTGAAAATGCATAATATTTTTTCTTTCCGTAATAACCACGTGTTTTAGAAGATAATGTATCCCTAATCCAATTACGATTTTATAGATCATTCCTCACGTGCACTATTTTGCATGCTTAAAAGAAACAAGTACAATCAGAACAATGCTCAAATATTCCTATGTTGTCGTGCAATGGTTGGATGGAGTATCCTCGATACAGACGCAATGCGGAAATGGTCGTGGAGTTCCACAACGAGCCCTCAACCCTCCCCTCTCTTCCTCCCCGTCCTCCTCTTCACGACCTCCTCCAACCAAAAGCCTCCTTTCTCCTTACCTCCCTTTCCCTTCTAACTCCGAGGCTTGTTACCTCGTTTCCCACCTCGTCTCCTCACCTCACCCTCGTCGCACCGCATCCAGTCGCCACCATGGGGTGAGTTGTGATTTCTTATATTTAAGGCGTTATTGAGGCGTTGCGCGGTTTGCAGCCTCCAGTTGGAGCGTTGTAGCGAGATGACAGGTCTAGGGTTTTACAGGATCGCGGCAGGACGTTCGTGCGAAATGTTTTATTCGTCAAACCAAGTGCCATGGGTGACGAGTGCATTCGCGTGGCTCCTAAAAGTTCAAATTCCGTTGCACGCAATTGCGCACTGGCTCTCGAATCACCGATTTGAGTACCGACTCCATGGTTTTTTCTTTCTTAAGCGTTGCACAGTATCGTTCTCACACGATTCTCGTTTTACGGATTCGGTCTTCGGGGTTTGTTAGGTCCGGTCCCGCTTGATTCGATCCGAACCCTAAAAGGACCGGGCGATACAACTTCAGTATTTCGTTAGGCACAGCCTCCTGT